CCTCCGACTCTCTCAGCGTCCGTGGGATGCCACGAGTCCAGTTTCAAGGTACGTGGTAGGACGTTTCAGTATCTGGGTTCATAGGCAGAGTTACGCTAGGCTCTCCTCGTGAAATATTCCTCCTCCGGGTAATGCGTATTGGCGCCATTAATAAACTCTAGTACAGAATATCGGTGTAGTGTGATTTCTGTGTGTGTGGGCAGAACCTCGGCGTAGCGTCTGTGATCTGTGTGTGGCGCGTCTGCGTGGAGAGACGGGGTGCCCGGCGTGAGCGCGAGTGCAGGGCGTCAGCGTGGGTGTGGTGTGAGTGATTTGAGCGTGTGCGTGAGGCGCGTGTACTGCAGCACATACGGCCGCTGTCGTTTGCGCGGGCTTGCGCTCGCGGGCTTGCGCTCGCGGGCTTGCGCTCGCGGGCTTGCGCTCGCGGGCTTGCGCTCGCGGGCTTGCGCTCGCGGGCTTGCGCTCGCGGGCTTGCGCTCGCGGGCTTGCGCTCGCGGGCTTGCGCTCGCGGGCTTGCGCTCGCGGGCTTGCGCTCGCGGGCTTGCGCTCGCGGGCTTGCGCTCGCGGGCTTGCGCTCGCGGGCTTGCGCTCGCGGGCTTGCGCTCGCGGGCTTGCGCTCGCGTACATGTTTACACATACACGCTTTACGCAGCGCGTTGACACAGTAGAAACGGCGTTCACGGTGAGGCGTGCCCCATAGTCATATACCCTCCGTTCTTTTCCGCTGCATTAGCCTCTGTTTGCACAGCGAATTAAGGCTTATCCACCCGGGGGGGTGAGGGGTGTGCATATTCATACCGCCGCCGTTTCTGTTGCTTCGCGCTCGACGTGTACGGGATAACCTCGGCGGTGGTAAGCGAGCCATTCAGTTATGTCCGCGCTGGTGCGGGGGACCCGATCACTCGATCGGCGGGGGCCTGGCGAGAGGCGGCCGAAGAGGAGGAGGAGGAGGGAGTGGAGGGGGTGGACGTCGACCCCCACACTCCATTGCACAGCTATCCCTCTCGTCCAGTGGTTCTTAACCTGGGGTGCACGCACTCCCTGGGGATGTGAGATGCCCTTTCTGGGGGTGCGAGACATGACAGATTGTTTTAGAAGGCAAATGGTCGAAACACAAATTAAGCACGAGCACTGAAGTACAACTGCTTTGTCTCATCAAACCCTACGTATGTATTTATTCCCATAAAATCTTTTTTTTACGAGAATCAAGGGGGTGCAAAGCTGCAGTAAAGGTGACAAAGCACTGCTCTAGTCCTACTGTTAATGATTACACACTCACCTATGATGAACCTATTGCTCTCATTAACACAGTCCTCGAATGACGCAAATTGCCAAGATTGGCATGGGGAGCTCCTGCACACGCATACACGTTCAATCGGTCGCCTCCGATGAACCCCCCCCCCACAAGCATTATCTTCGCTGTTGCCAGACCCTAGCACTTGCCTTTACCAAACCTGGTCAGGCCAGTTCTACCACATCTGTATAGCAACGCAATGCAGCACGTAAGCGAGTCCACATGCGTTGTGTAGCCCGAAGGCGATGCAACACGACGTGTTGACTTCAGTTTCCCCCTCGCAGAGGCGAACGGAGTAAAGTCCACACGGCCGATGTAAACGTAAGCTCTCGTGATAAGAGGCATATGACGACATTGGCGCTACATATTTGTGCTCGAGTTGATCTTGTTTGGATAAAAGTACCATATTGCTACAACAATTCGGTATCACGAGTAAAAATGTGAAGGACACTTTTTGACTAAATAATATATATTCTCTCGTTTGAGTGCCCTGGTGAATCAAGGATTCACAATATATGCAAATTATATGTAAATGAATTGCTAATTTGGAATTAAATGTTCACCGGCAAAACGTGACTGCAAATAAGACGGAATAAATGGAACAAACATTAAAAACAATATGGAAAATTTGAGATAATACAATATTTTAGCGAATCGTGCCCCGAAATCCTGACGATTCCTCAACTCGCCGAGGGGGTGATTCTTCACTTTCCAAATCCCAAATTTTGTCTCTGACGTTAAAAACTCAAAATTCCCCGGGTGGTACTCTCTCATTGAAGATACATGGATATATAATGTGTGTATTAGTAACCCGCTTTTTGTAAACTTTAACAACACACTCCACAAAACATGTTTGGAAAATTTAGATATTGAAAATCTAATGGCACGTTTTATTCAGCACTATTCAAAAACGTGGCATCCTTAGAACATCCATGTTGCCAATATGTTAATTTTAAAATGTGATAGTGTTTGTTTTGAATCTCGTTGTTCCTTGTCAGCTACACACGTATTCATTTCGTTACGAGAACTGAAAACCAGATGGTAAAGTCAATTAGCACCAGAATGAGAAGTTGGACAACAAAACACCAGGGGCTTTGATAGCTGGGCATGATAAGAATAACGATAGCTTGTGAACGTATCGTTAGGCTATTGAATATTTACCTTCCCAGGGAATTGTTGGCAAAACGTCCGTTGTAGTATACAGCAACTTCCCTTAATAGAGATTTGAATTATACACCACTATTGAGTGTGCACTGAAATATTGTCCAAGCTATAGGCTGTTGTCAAGTTAACCTGACTATTGTTTGAGGTGTGAAGAGGCTTGGAGTGTCTGAATTGTCACTTGCAGTCTCCATTCAAACCTGTGGCTGCCTGCACGCAGTTGACCTCCAAGCGTGTACACAAACGGGTCCTCGCTAACCAAGTGACTCCCAAAGCTACTGGTGACAAACTCGCAACGTGCCGGGGCATTTGTCGCGACATGCGACCAAGAGACTGATGAGCAATAGGCGTGCTGGTCAGAAAGGCCACAGCGTGCTTGAGCTGCAGATCAAGCCTGACGCGCAGACAATCCTGTGAACAAGCAGCAGGCAGGGTGATTGCAAAGCACTCCAGCAGTGGACCAAGCCTACCATTCAACACTAACTTATGGGACAGAAGATTAACACTGACTCTTGCACTCATATAAGCACATTGCTTACAGTTGGTGACGCCAACCTCACACAAGAAAAACGCAATACATTAATTAACACCCACACTACATATCATAATTGGTTAATTGTGTGTACAACAGCAGCCGCCATTCGTCACTAAGTGGCGATGTCACCACGGCACCTGTGCCAGGCCATGTGCACTTTGAGGCCACGTAAGGTGTTGAAGGCTCGCTGACAGGAGGTAATGGAAGAGACCCAAGTGCCATCGGTTGAATAACTAAAATGCCTGACAGATGCGCCAGCTGTGTCCCCTACTGCTCAAACTTGTTGAATTTTGGCTGGCCGGCGCTCCGCTCGTTGTTGTGCGTGTTGCTCTTCTGCCTTCCGTTGTTGCTGGAGGGCGACTGCTTCCAACTGCCCAGTGGCAGCGTCCTTCACGAGCCTCCTCCAATATTGACATCGCTGGTACCAGTCTTCAGCAATAAGAGAGGTTTTTGGGTTAGATTGCGTAAATGTGTCGTTAAAACCCGCCACCACCCGACACAGCCAACTCGTAAGGTTTGTCACGTAAACAGAACATGCCAATTCGTCACTAGTACGGCACACCGGTGTGTTGGAGAGCTTCATCAGGGGAGAGACAGATTTGTGGAGAAGTCTTACTGTTTCGTTCCTTATATAGAGGCGTAGATGTGTTAACCACCTTTCTTAGCTCTTGCATGATGTGGGGGTGGGGCGGTGTGATTACTGAGGCAACGTACATTATGCGAGCCCTTTGAACTTGGCCTTCCTTTGGAACCTCATTTGCCAGTAAAAAATATAATTGTCTTTTTACCCTTTTATCTGGCAACAAAACTGACAACTTTTTTTACAAGGAGTCATGTTTGCATAGACCACAATACCTGCAGTCATAATGCAAACAAAAAACATAACTCTGATAATGTATGCACTGTCCTTGAAGTTGATTGGTCCACACCCGAGACAGCTTTCCTTAGAGTCTAGTCTCACATGCGTTGGACCAGACGACGCCAGATGACGCCAAAGGTGGGTTGAGGGAGTGGAGTGTTTGACACAACATACCCAGACAGGTGCTTAGTTTAGGTGGGGCTGATGGTAAGACTCCACCTCTTAGTGGAATACTCCAGGTTCAGGGGCATCGCCTCCAACTCCTCCTCTTGGGTAAGCAGCACTTACAAAATCATCAGCATACATAACATGGTTGACCAATCGGCAGTCATCCCTCGACCGCACCCAGCCATCGATCAGCCTCCCATTATATATGTACCAGATGGAAAGTGCTCTGGTACAGCCATAGAAAGCTCCTCTATATACGTGGTTAAAGATTGTTAAATAATGTAGATCCCTGTCGCATCCGAATGTGAACAGGAAATGGCTCAGACTCCTGGCCACGTAGCTTTAGCCAGGACTGCCCACAATCATTCAGGTCCTTATTTATTGTAAGCAGGGAGTCGGGGATTCTGAAATCACGAAGAACAGCCTAGAGCCCAGGCCTGTTTCTTGTGTCAGTCCTTGACCAGGTGAATACAACAGATGCAGATCTTGTGGGAATTCCCTACATCTTTGCTGTAACAGACAGCGAATATGGCATTAACGTAGGACTGTTATGGTTTGAAACCACCTTAGGCTCCACAAGCCTCTCCTCAACGTGTCTGCCAAGGGGATTTTGAATAATTAAGAGGGAGATGCCGCTGTATTTGTTATAATCTGTGTGGGGGACCACCAGGGCAACCTTTCAAATCTGCGGAACCCATCCTGTAGTCCAGACAGTTGTGATGTCATGTAGGACAGTGTGCATGCAGGCACAACCTTTCCACAGCATTTCGCTTGGGAGATAAATGCCCGGTTCTTTTCCTGGTATCAGACTCTGGATCGCCCCTTGCACTTCTTCCAACAGCAAGCAATGTTGAAATTCCTGCTTGCAACTATCATCAGCTAGGTAACACCAGGCTACTGTGGATTTGAATGGGTCCTAAATGGACACCCACCACCGGAGTGCAAAATGGCAGGCGAATCTTACAGATGCCAAGCCGATGGTTAGTGGGCATATCAACTCCACCGTAGGTCAAGGTGTCAAACACATCGGCCCAGATCCGCTGTTCCATCACTATATATTTTTAGCATATGTTCTTGATTAGATCCGGCATGCATTAATGATGTTGTGTGGATGTACCAATGCTGGAGAAGTGTATTGGTAATTACATTATCATGGGCTACACAGAAGTCTACAGCCACCTACCGTTATTAGTCAGCTGATCTCACCCATGCCTTCAAATCACTCCGACCCAGGTGTCTGCGTCATGGCCTCCTCAGGCATTAAAGTTACCAAACAGGATGACTATCCTGAGGGGCCACCTTAGAGAGCATCTGCGATAAGTTATAGGTATCCAACTCATCAGCCTTGTCTGCATCCCTCCATTGATCTTTATTTTTGGTGGGGGGCATAAGCAACTACCACCACAATCACCATTCTTCGCCTCTTGTTGATGGGGAGGCAAACGCACCGCAGCCTTGGGACCTCTCACACCTCTTCACCATGCTCCCACACCCCCAGCACGCCCTGCAGTTTTTGTCAGTTTTCTGCAGAACTGTCTACACCTCAATGACTGGAGCCAGAACTGGTCCACCGGACCTCCTGTATAGTAGAGGTCAGGCTGTACTGGTCTATCTCCCAACAGGAGTGGCAAGTTTTATTCTGCAACGAGTGTTTGAACATTCTAAGTAGCCAATCGCATTAATCTGTTCCTGGAGAAACACTGAGAGGGGTTCAGTCTGGCTCCTCTAAATGGTTTGGCCAGAAGGCATTGAACACCTATCCCCTGGGGGCTCCAGAATTAGCTTATTTCTGTAGGTCTTGCATTTTTGTTTTAAGTGCCAAGTAGAGGGTGTTAACACCCCTTGCACAACTGCCACCTTGACAAACCCCTCCACATAACATATCTGTATAAATACTGCATAATGAGATGTTAACATCTTTATCACATGATCTTGATATGATCATTGACGCATATCACCCTTTGGGTAAGCATCGATGAGTATGCATATTTGCATGTGTAATGTAGTTCCATTCTGATAAGTATTTTTTCGATGTCATTCTAAGTTGCTGAAGTTGCTTTGTCCAAAGGGGTCCGAATTTTTCCTTCCTTACCAATGCATCATATTTCTCAAGTTCAACCATATCATGTTGTGAGATCTGAATTGAGACCTGACGTGAATGTTGAAAGCATGAAACATTAACATTACCACGATTAATAATACATTACTCAAGAAAACGTAAAAGCCAATAACCTAATTAATGAGATTATATTTATTATTTAATTGTAAAATGTATGACTAAATAATATTGAACTCAGTCAGAATATCTATCGTGATCGACAATCGCTCCTGATCATATGCGTAATTTCCATCGATTATATGCATAATTGACCATTGATGATACTCAAAGACTGCGCCATAATCGTGAATAAGTTGTGTAATAATTAAAATCTATCAATACAATAGGTAAATGTCATGGATAATTAATTCGTACCAAAGTTTTTCATCATAATTAGATATAATGAAAAATAACGTATGTTATTTTAATAATTATTTAATCATACATTAATTCAAAGTAATACATTTAATATCGAGTTCACTAGCCCTTCAAACCTTTTCATGGAGCTAAGAACTTATCAGCCACCCCAGCTTACATGGGGTTACGCTCCATTATTTTTCATATCAATTATGTACTGGTTTTCCAAATAAACTTACATTTTCTATATTTAAAGATTTGCTAGGCACCCAAACGTGCGTATGTAGAACGTTTCGCACCATTCGTCGCCAATACAAAGTGTTCACTGCATACATATATTAATTAATGTTAATATGACTCATAAATTGCACAACACGTGTACTATCGATTAACCGATCAAAAATCCAATATTTTTGGATTCACTCGTGTTTGTGTAGTCAATGGCAGAGCCAGGATTTTCAGGTAAAGGGGCAACCCCTCCAGCAATGAAAAATGAGAGGAGTTGTTAGTGAGGACTTGTCCCTTGCTTTTATTCGATGTGTGTGTGGCGATGGCGCAGCCATCGATCAAGAGTCGAATTCGAACCGTGTGTGATCGGCATCGCACTCGCTGAAGGTATTATGCCTTCAGGGAAGTCGTGTACTATTTACGCAACTGCGCACAATTCTGAGTCACTTATAACTGCTTTGCCGTTACTTATTGCCAATTATGGACTCAGACTATTGTCCCATCTCATCGAGTCCCTGGCACATAATATGCTACTGGGGGTCCCAAAATGCCGATTACTAATAAACTCCAATTATCTAATCAAAATTAGGGATTTTGATCGGATAATTAATTGGGGGGGGCACGGGCCACCCCGCCCCCCCAACCACTGGCTCTGCCAGTGTGTCGTGCTCTAAATCCTTGTTTGAAAAAGTTATTTAAAACTATAAACTTTCACTTTCTTATTTTTCCTGTTTGAATAGTTATTGGATCCAAAAACGTGTTACGTCTAAGCACAATTATAATCGAATACCATTAGGTAACTTATAGGTTTCACAAAGTGTCATTACATTTTGTTAATTAGATAAACGAGTATTAAAGTGTCCAGTCTGTATTAATGTTACTATTTGTAAGCATGCGGGCCACTTAATATAAACTCAGACACTGTTCACCTGTCAACCATCATCGTATGTTCCAGTCTAAGTCAACAAATGTTAACGCTGGAATCCATTGCAACATCTCCAATCAGAGGAGTTAGTTCCCGGAACGTTTAGTGTCTGCTGCTGTTAGAAGGCAGAGTTAATTACTATGGATGGATGTGTCAGTATATATGTATATAAATACAACACTGTCCCTCGGAGCTCATTGAGATTCATTTTAACATTCACGAGCGCCAGTTGTGTTCCACACGAGTTCCATCAGTAGGGCACAAGTGACATTTCGCTCATGTCAGTCACCACATCCATTTCAGACTTCAAATCGGTCCCTGCTCACATCCCGAGAGATCGTCCCAAGGGAGGAGGAGGGGTGGTAGGCGAGTTCGCCTCATGCTTAGATAGTTGGGTCGGCTGTGGCGACTTCACCAAGAGCAGCTCGGTCTTCATCACCTGGAAAAGCAGAAGACAAGTTCAGCCGCATAGATCAAGACTCATGATTGCCATGTCAGTCCCGGGCAAGTTCACCGTCTCGTGCGTGGCACAATCGACTGCTAGACGTGTACTAATTTGTGATATCGCTAAGTCTATTGACACAAGCTCAATCATTCCATCATGATATTGTGGACTATCTTTGTACCGCTAGGGAAACCAATTGTGATCATCCTGTCAATGAGTCCTCAAAAATGGGACAAAGGTAAATGGCAGAAGAGCGGCACCAAGCTTGCTGGCTGTCACTTCACCTTCAAAAACCACAATGTGAATGAAGATTGTGGCTTTCAGTGCAAATCTAAAAGTATCGAATCAGAGCACAAGGTTAGTGTGTGATCTTCATCTTCAAAAATGCAAGACATAAGGAGAAACTGAAGTACCAACAAGAAAGCCCCAATAAAAGCAATTGAGCACATAGGAGACACAACTTAAATAAACAAAGGATGAAACTAAATAATACAAGAATAATTCTTACATTTTTGGGCGAGGCCAATGAGTGAGTCAAATAAGAATTCGTTATGGATTGAGATTTTGCCCATAGCCAGTGTATGGCTATCTTTAGTAAAGGATAGCACATAAATAATGTATAACAGAACAAACATTATAATATATACATGTGCACGAATAGACGTAGGATGCATAACGATATGTATTTTTTATACGAGGTGCTTTCAAGAGCATTTGATTAATTAAGGGTTTAATATATACACGCAAATTGCATTATTGATCAAATGGTTAAGGCATCATATGGGCTACCATCAGCTACCAAATATATTGACCTACAACTTGAATTAAAACTTGCAGATTAGTGTAGGCCAAAAATGGTAACTTGGCAATCGGCATGAAATACCAAATAATTGAGCGGTCGGAGGCTATGGTCTTGACTCTCAAAAATGTTGCAGGATTGACCACCAAAATTAAGTTACATCTGCCAAAAGGTCACCTGTTTGCCATGCTTTACAGAACCCATACCGATCATTGATCTGAAATTGCACTCTCAAATGTGATTGAACAAATTGCCGAGGAGAGACAACTTTTTAGAGTAATGAAGTAACAGCTATTGGCCAATTATACGTAAGATGAATGACTATTTTTTTGGTACTGGCATGAACGAAGATTTCAAGTTGCTGGTACAGCGTGGCTGCTGTGACAGCTCAAAGAGCCTACAAAAAACATATTTTAACACAATGCCAGGTATACCATCGGGATAAGCCTTGAGGTATTACGTTTGGATATTGCCTAACTTACCAGGCACCCACTGTTCGACGACGCAATTCAAATGTTGCCAGTCGATTTTTCACTGCAACAGACTAATAGTGGGTGAAGAATTTGACCCAGATGTATCCCTTACTGGTGGAAATCGAAAAATCTGCAGATGTTGTTTGAAAGAGTTATGTCTAACGAATATAAAGGATGAGAACCAACTGGACAGGATGTCCATTTATTATTGCATTTGCGAGTTACAAAGTCAAGCTTTGATTGCTTAAGGACAGATTTGCAGTTGTTTCTGGGAAGCTTTGTACTTGGTAAAAAAATGTAAAGGACTGACTGTCATCTCTTCTACCCACTCTTGAGAGACTGCTACTTGGCAGTTAATTGTTTAATGGTGGATGTGTTCCCCCAAAAAGTGCAGAAATTGGGGACTTTTCCAGTGATATTTTATCAGTAGCAACCATGACACATGCCAGATTTGTTCAACCATGCGAATCAACAATCATTTATCAATTATGTCCGAATCAAAATACACTTGTTTCAAATGTCTAAAGGTGTGCATTTCAATGAATCGGGAGCGGTTAGGTTTGCCAGTGTAAAGTCACATGTGGAAAGCATTTGTCGAGCAGATGTAAGGTTAGAGACACTGTTTTGCGAGAAAACCAATTCGCCAACATTGTTCTCGATTGCAAAATAATCTGCTTCATGGCCAGCTACATTTTATATAGTTTTTCTTGTACTGAAGAACTGTTGACACCAAGGTCATCAAGAACGATGATCTCGGCACCATTATGTTTCCGTATATACAAGTTAAATCGTGGTAGTTGGACTCGGGAATTGTGTTGAGCGAGCTACATTTGGGGCGTGGTAAACGCATTAAATGAATAGGTATGCATGTTGAACTTATTTTTGCACCATACGTAGCCAACCATGCTAATTGGAGGTGCAATATGAAAGAACGAAGTCCACAGATGCTTGAAAACAGTGCCAGAGAGCTCAATCAGGGATGTGTGAAAGATATGCTATCTTTGGCGAATAAACAAACGCCACCTCTAAATTTGTACTGATAAACTCACGGATGAATGGAAGGAATTTGTCCACAACTCTTTCGAGGGAGGAGATTGTGGTCGGGTCCAGTGAAGGTGGAATTGGTGGTGGGGATTTCTTTGTGACGTTTCTCCTGGAACAAAAATTAGGAAACAAATTTGCTCCACACAGCTACATTACCCACTGTATGAGCACAGCATAATCAAACGTGTACCACACACAGTCCATGCCTGATACATAGGCCATATATCACATCAACTCATGTCTTACAGTCCCTCCTCATTTGGTGTGGTCTTTTCCACATCCCATGTCTCTCACACAGCACCACTTTTTAAATCCTTTATATTAAGTTCACTTGCTCGCTTGCTTGCGCGCTTACGACCGTGCAAATCTTTCGGTCGTTTTTTAACCCACTTCCCGTGATCCAATCGAGCTGACATTTTGCACACAGACTCGTTGTGCGCGACAATTTATTTTAGTGAAAAAAAAATTTCCAAAATTTTCCACTTTGTATGAAAAAAATAATTTCACTAACACAATCATATATTTTTCCTAAACACAGAAAATTATTCAAGAAAACAACAAAAATGTACAATATAAACAATCATACAAAAACTGAAAACCTTATAATCCTTATATACGACTTTCCTTATATTTAATTTAAAATACCAATGTGATCAAAATGAAACTCTTACTCAAGAAAAACAGAAATGAATAATAAAATAAAACCGATGCCACGCATATAAAGGATTTATAGTGAAAAACTTTGTTTTTACGGGTTAATTTTTTTAAAATGTGAATAGTGGTTGTACCTGTGTGTCTCCTCCAGGTAACCCTGTGGGAGAGAGCGAGGAGGTGTTAAATGTGACTCTCCACGAGTAATTTTCACAATGCGATACACAAGAATATGAATATCTTGATTTGAAGCTTTCGTGACTGCAGAAATCCATACTACGTGCCTTTACCGAAAGAACCAAAGAGTAGGAATATGAATTTTTGGTCTGGGAGGAGCAGAGGTCACTTGAGATACCAAAGATAGGGTGAACAGCCACCACTTCAACTATCAACACAACACAAAACACTGAAGAAAAAAATACAAGCAACATAGCTAAAATGTTAATTATATAAAACGTGAGTGAGAATTCTCGGGTAACTAAAAAAATTAATGCCCATTTACATTTTAATAAACGTCTGGGAAATGTTAATGTAATATTCCATAAGTGTTCCAGGCATTATGGTATTGTACGAGGCTTGCATGAAACTATTATTTGATGCTACTGTTGAGCAGGAGGCCAAGCACAGAAAAAACCAAGACATTTGTAGTGACTAACTCAGAGATGATAAGACTTGGAGGCACTGCTTTATTTAACGAGCACCATTGGGGTTAACACTTTTAATATTTTAGTCCATCTATTATCGGCGACACCACTTAGAAAAGTTGCTGGGCTGTCTGACTGGTGGCGCCCCGAGATGGTAAAGACGGAGACAACGATGAGAAGAACGATGAAGATGAAAAGAATGGTGAAGATGACGAAAAGAACGGTGACGATGGACTTCATCAGCACGACGGGGGATCCCACCCCTAACAACAGCCCCGAGGTCCCCCACAGGGGCCCCTCTAATACTATCCTTGCAGTCACGAAAGCTTCCCCTCTAATACTGTCTGCGTGGCCTCGCTCTGCCCCGGCCACGCCCTCTTTCTGGAACCTACGAGAGGGTACATGGTTGGGCCTCTTCTGAGACCTTTCCCCTAGATCCCCCTCACGTGAAAATCCTGGCCTGCTGACATCAGAACTGCCGTACGCCGCAGATCGCTTTTTCTGCCAGCAGCCAGCGCTATGCCACTACACATTTATGAATAACGATGCCTTAAAAATTCGTCTACAAGGTGACGTTTTGGCCAATGCCTGTTCTTCGCAGGCCATACATAGCCTCGAGAAAGAGTGGACAAGTGTTGGATACTACTTTACACCATGGGACCAAAATAAAATATTGATTTGAAGCTTTCGTGACTGAAGAAATCCATACTCTTTGGTTCTTTCGGTAAAGTCACGTAGGTAGAAAAAATAAATCTCCCCCATTAACACAACTGACGGTGCTTGCGTGCGGGGATGGAATTTCTTTCCAGCTCAGACCCTGCCTGCTTGCCCTTCGCCACATATATAACCTATTGTTGTAACAGCTCTCTCGCTGTGTTTCTTCCTGGTTTAGTAGCTCTACTGCTGGAATATTTGTTTCTGCCCGAGGACAACCGCTTGTTGCGATCGAAACATCGTGATATATTATTTTTTTTTCTACCTACAAGACTTTACCGAAAGAACCAAAGAGTATTATAATATTGATAAATTAACTCTTTGTGTAAAGTAAAAATTACACAATGTTGCGGGTACATTACATTAAGGGTTGAACTGTTGAAGTAATAAAAGGTTTATGAATTCCAAAAACAAGTGCTTTTGAGATATATTATCCTTACATTGCTCGAGAGCTCCTCTAATTATACGATTCATTCTTGGATACTGCTTCAGATAATTCACTTAAAGCAACTAAATTAATTCTCAACTACAATTAAACTTTTGAAATGACAGTTTTGGGCAAAGGAAAGCATCATGAAGTGAATTATGCTTCAATTGACTTCACTACATAATGCACATTACCTCTACATATGCAACCGACTTGCAATTGTGATGTGTCCTGTGTCACAGGGTTAATTAACAGTTCCGCAGTTGTAATAAACAATCTTTATACGTACATAAATGCAATCATAGCAATGGCTCTGCTGTAAAATAATTTGAAAGAGTTTTGCACGTGGGTTTTTACAATAATTAATTCTGAATGCGGGGGGGGGGAGGAGGCGGGGGGTATGAGAGATCCAAGTCTGCGACATTACCGGAGGTGTGGGCCTGGTAAAATTGTTTAGTTTTAGTTTAGTTTGTTTTGCGAAGTGGTCTGAGTCAGAGCAGCATACCTAGAGCTACCGAGACTGAGAAGTAGACTGGAATTCGTGGAGACCAGGGATTGTGCGCCAGCCTGAAGCAGTGATGCTCCGATGCCTGGGAAATAGTGTCTCAGCTGCCAAAACTACTGTGCAGCAGAGCACACCTCATCCAGCTTATATCAAATGTCTAGGTCTGTATCTAAAGGAGATCTTCTCCAATGACATTGAGATCCTAATTGACCTCAGCAATGCTAAATTATGGAAATGGTGGTTTTGAAGACCTCACCTCCAGACTACCCATAATTACATTTAACATTTTTTAAACATATAATGCTAATGTGTTTATTTGGTGATACACAATTAATTATGGGAGGGTTTGTTAAACTAGCTACAAATAAGCAACTATTTAGTGTAAATCTCAAACACTGGTTATCAGAAAAAACATTTTAAAATGTGATTATCATCAAGCTCCATGGTGCCAAGTGCAGTCTAACTATTAACTCCTCTGGGCTCTTTATATACGTGATTATGAAAGGCCATCGATAAACATTGTGCCTATTACACACGTTTTACTCGTAAAAGTAGTATCATTGCCCAATGTAGAGTTTGTTTATTGGAACACTTAATCTTAAAAATGTCATTCACTTCAGTTGCTATACAAGTGTATTATTAATGCTCTGCTGTAAAGTCATGAAATCCTTATTACAGAGGAGTCGTTAATATTGTACACTCACACCTGCGATTAGCACGCTTGACTATGTACGATGCGAAGTTCAGACATATACAATGGTGCACCTGCATAAAAGTGAGCGAGTCCTTCTCCTCCTCGAGCGCCTGCAGGCGAGTGGCTGTCTGCTGTAGCTCTCCGATCTCCCACTGGTAATGAGCGATGCGTTCGTCAATCGGTGACAGCAACTCGCGCCCCTTCAGGTCCATGCATTGGAACGCAATCCTCTCCTCCTCATCCAGCACCTTCCTCATGCAAGTGAAAATACCGGCGATGTAATCCTTGGTTTTGGTAATTGGCTCCTGCAAGGACATAGAATTGATTTTATTATTATTTACAACTATAAAAACGAATGTTTGTAAATGTATTTACAGTTGGTCTTTGGATAAAAGTTACATGTTTAAATAATAATGCAATAACAATGCAGCCATGAATGGATGTACACATCTTTTAGATCGTAGTCAAAACGAGTATAAAGCAACAATGTAAATTCCTCACCCCTCCCCCTTTGTAACGTATTATTTTTGAAAAGGAATGTTACAAAGTTCTTAAAACGAGCAGAGCTGCCCTCAGTTGGGAAATTTCGAGAGGCGAATGTTTAGAGACCAGAGCCATGCCTAGATTCAACACCTGCGTATTCTTGCGAACAGCCTCCATCTGTTTCACAGACTCTTCTGCCTCATTCTTGTTTTCCTCCACCGCTCTCGTCTTCTCTTCTACTGGTTTCTGTAAAGAAGAGCGTTACTATATGAGTGTACCCACAAACCCAACTCTGAATCCCAGCTGCACAAACCGGTAGGGAGCAATGCAAGCTGGGGGAGAGGCAAGTGATCGAGCTCAAACATCCATAAAAAAACGTGACAAATGCAGCGTTGCCTTTTGGAATAAGGATGGTGCATTTTGACGTCTTTATCGGTTTTCTCTGCATGACAGATGGCACGTTAGTTGCATGTCATTCTCTGTATGAAACTATTCATTTTAAAGTGGATGATGTATCAAAGTCTGTTTTGGCAGGTCAATCTTACAAATATCTTCACTAAAAGCAAAGGAATTATAGGATTTTTTTTTAGAAAACGTGAAGTTTGTAAAACTGCACAGACTAATGTATAGTGTGACTAGAGACAGCCAAGTATTTGTGTACAATCTGCTAGATTGTTAATTTCGCAGAGGTAAGCACCGGTACAATCCCCTCGGATCCTGTATCCGAGTGGCTCCACTCACCTTCCGTGCCTCGTGCGCATCTTCCACGCTGATGCATTTGTGTCCTGTGTGCTCCCCCACGATGGCGCATCTCGTGCATACCAGGCACTCGTCCTGAGCGCAGTAGAACTCGAGACGCTTGTTGTGCAACTTGCACTTGCGAGCTCCCGTATTGGCACCCAGTTCCATCAGCTCATGGTCCTTGAAATTCGGGTTCTGCAGATGATGTTTACCATGGGGCTCACAGAAGGACATCTCGCACACTGGGCAGGTTCTCACAGCAGGTTCTTTACCATCCAGACAGCTGTCACAGGGAACTTGCAGAGCCGCTTTATCAGCCAAATGAAGCTGCTCCACGAGGTTGGCGAGCGCCACGTTCCTGCTCAGCTGCGGCTTCTGCGTAAACTCGGCTCTGCACTGGGGGCACGAGTGGCTCCCGGCTGCCTCCCACGCATCCTCTAAGCATCGCAGGCAGAACGAGTGGCCGCAGCTCAGCGTGGACGGGCAGTCGAACGTGGCCAGGCAGATGGAGCAGGTGAGCTCCTCAGACGCAACATTAGGAGCAGTGGGTGAAGAGGAGGATCCACCCATAGCTCTGCTTGTCTGCTAAAGCGTCTCCTGCGAGTGTAGAAAGACAGTCTAAGTGAAAAAGAAAATTGCAGCTTAACCAGTCATTAGGTCGTGACTATTTTTTTCTCGCAAAGGACTGCTTTAGACTTTACACCAGGGACACATTCCTTTTAAAATCTAACCCAAGTGTAATAAATCTGCTCCAGACGAGATTGTCTTTTCTTTATTATTTCCTCATTCCACAGCTCCCTCACACGCTGGGTTCCTCTTTCCCCCGTTACTCCGTTCCCCGAGCGTGGCGTCCGCTCGCTGCCTCGCTCCCTCACACCGCTGGTTGACGGTGTATGTCAGAGACAGCCTCCAGCCCGCCACGTGGCCGCTGGCGTGCCGGTGACACAGACGTGGTTTCCTCCTTAGCCCCTCTCCACACTGACCCGGAGCTGTCTCTCCCCACACCCCATTATAGCGCCTGGCCCACGTGATACCATGCAGCCAATCATCAGCCTCGCCCCCTGGAACCTTCCAGATGTTGCTATGCAGCCACAGGCTACGCCCCTGGCTCGACGTCCCATTGGCTGTGGGCTGAGGCTGACAGAGCCTATCACCATGGCCCAGTTACCTCCCGGGTGCATCTTCATATTACACAAGTAATCCTGAACACGTGATATGGACTTGTTTGTGGTGCTTAATCATTGCCAGTTGTATCGTGTTCAAAGTCCGAACAAAACGCCCCAAAAAAACAATGGAAGATAAGGAACTATAATACCCACCAAGCACTCTCCAGTTTTTGGTTATTTATTTACTTTGTTTCCTTCATCTGTGTGACTCAATGAGTAAAGCAGAAGAGTGCTATTCAACTTATTGTTTTCGTTCAAATATCCTCCTTGCACAATGTAGGATTTAAATTACACAATTATCCTTTTAAAGATGTACACATTGAGATGAGACCAATGTTACTCTGAAGTGAACACAAAAAAATACCACTACAAGACCTCTTAAGTGGGAAAATGCTGACCGGAGGTAAGAAAAGCTGCTCTACACCTTTCAGACAGGGCCCAAACACAGGCTCAGATCGGTCCTTTGCCAGAACCCGAGACTCAAATTCATGACTAGGAGATGGCGCTTGCGTGATGTGTCAGCTATGTCAGTGGAAGGGACTCAGGTGACTCAAGACAGGCGTAAGTGAATGAAGTCGAGCTTTGGAAGAACATGCCAAGATCAAACTAGATCCCACAAGGAAACAAGAGGTTAAACGTAACTCAGTCCTCTTATCCTTAGAGACTAAAGCTCTATCACAAATTGGCAATACAAAAACGTAACTACCACAACCTCACGCTGTACATAATGTTACAACATTGCCGAACAAAGTTATCCTGTTCGCTCGATTGTTGGTGGCTCTGGCATGAGCACCAGTGTAATTGTGGGGAGGTGGGGGGGGGGGGTCGCAAAACCTTCACCTGCCGTACCCCGTTTCAGTTATTTAAAAAGTAAAGGGCATAGGTCGAGTCCCATGGGTGGAGTGCGATGGTCACGGACACAACGAGAGCTTGCGCATCGAGCTGTTAGCGATCAGAGTCGAATTTAATCCACATCTCAAAAGCGAGGATTCGCCACAATTTTAGTATGGCAGTGCCCCGGACACAACAGCTGTTCTAACGAACTCTTAATGCGACTACACACGAAGTTTCCACATCGTCTCGTGTGCGCTTGTTGCCTTCCACCTCGGGTTCCCGAGCCGTTTCAGTTTCCGTGCTCGCCGACTCGCCACTCCAGACCATACACTCACACGACTCCACAGGCGCACACGCAGCTTGGTTAGGCCACCTCTTAGACCTGCTATGGGTAGCAGGGAACGCCAAGGCGGTACTCGGGGCTCCCAGGTTACCCCCCCCCCCCTCCACGTCTCGCCTCCGCCATGTCCACTGCTGTAGCCTCCCAGCAGGCCACCCCGTTGGTCTGCTGGAAGGCAGCACGCGTTCTTTACCAAACCTCCGGCTGTTGAAAGTGCTCTCGCTCGTGGCTTCCTTGCCTTCTGCAGACCTCTGCTCTCCAGCCTGCACTTCTACCAGGTCCCCTGCAAACATAACCTTACTATTTACTTTGCTCCTTGACCCACAAATAAACTATCTTGTAATACTCTGCAACGAGTGGAAGGTTTAACTTACAGCCTCCTAAGACTAGCTCTTGTCACATCACCTGCTGTCCGTGGATACTGCTTTTTTATGTGGCGCTCCTCTGCACTTGAACACAACTATGAACCATGATCTCTCTGGTCTGACTCAGTCCTTTATATATGCGAGCCAGCTGCCCCTTTCTGGCTTGCCATTGGCTCAGCGGCCTCCTTTTTAGGGGTGGGTCACCTGTTTCTACTTGGGGTTTCAATTACCCCCACCTGGCTTAATCTTCCCTAATCACACCTCTTACAAGTAGTGGCTGAAAATTGTATCAGTGGCAGTCCTGTCTCAACTAGTTCTACCACCCTTAGTCAAACATGTAGATTATCTTTCCATCCACCCTGGAAACAGCTTGTAGTTGTACTCATAGTACTGTGCGTCAACAATACCACTCAACTTCAATGGCAAACACTACAAATAACAATCTTGTTGCCCAGTGGGTTCATTGTTAGGCATGCAACTCGGTTGCATGCAACTGAATCGTGCAAGCCATTGCAACTGGTTTAAAGCAGCTGTACAACCAATTGCTCACGGTAGAGACACATTTTCCTTTTTAACATCGATCTGCTCAGAGATTTGTGACGAACCACGTTTGGCTGTCTATAATCCAGAATACGCTGCTTAATCGTTCTGTGGCGCAGCTAATCGTTCAGATGTGGAAAAAGCAGTTGCATTCACCCAGGTGTGGGTGACACGTGTTGATCTGCTCTGCAATACCAACCTGCCTCTGCTGAATCTTTTCTTCAAATCCTTGAATCACAGAGGTGAAATATTATCGTACTCCTCTTGGTGACATGATGGCGACATGGCTAAGCACGTTCTAGAGATTTAAAGCTTTCGTGACTGCAGGGATTCATCTTCTTGGTTCTTTCGGTAAAGTCACGTAGAATGGAAATAATAAAATAATAAAAAAAACAATAAAATAATTATAATGTTTTATTTTTATTATTTTATTATTTCCATTCTACGTGACTTACCGAAAAAACCAAGAAGACACGTTCTAGAGGTTCAAGTTCAATTCTGGCCAGCCGCACTGGTTAATTCCATAGACGTATTAACAGTAAAACACAACGTGCCATCTGCTTCAGTCAATGGATGTTAAAGATCCCCTGTCCTCATTCACCACAACTGACTCCATTGGGGATTATACAGCAGGAACATCGTGAAATGTGGCACTTTATTTTTGTGACAGCCTTGCGCTATACGATTGGGGAGAATACCAAATAAATTATTATTACGGAAATAAAGTTATATATTTTATACCTGCTTACCTGAAGTTTTAAGGAACTGAATGTGGCAGTGTTTTTGATGGTGGTTGGAAAGTTTGCACTCATGCTCAACAGGGTAAGGCAGAGGTTTGTTTTTGTAAATAATTTGTATTGCTCCAACCACGGGGGGGAGGAGGGTGTACAACTTCCGCGACAGGTGCGTGGTGCATAGAGAGATAGGCGGCTTGGATAGACAACCAACGCGGACGTGTAGGACCTTATTGTTATGTGTTACGTGCATCAGATCCCTTTTCTTTGGAGAAGGAAGGGGAGTTGGGGGGACTCAGTCTCATTTCAAGTTCAATCAAGTAAACTCAGGGTCTCTGGAGTGGCATTCACGTGGGGGACCAAGATCTGGGTGAACTCCCCTTCCCTATTCCTCAGTTTTAGACTCAGATTTTCTAAAGCTGCTAGGGCGAATAGGGAGTTATATGCAAGAGGGTGAATGATTCTTCCAGGAGCTCTGGATGGTCTTTCTAACCAAAATGTGAAATGCTTGGAGAAAGGTGTCTTGGTGCCTGGTGATACCTTGGAGTTTAAGGACCAGGAGGGATAATTCAATGCTAAGTAGTAACTGGGCGCCAGATATCGCTTTGTACAGATCGGTTATTTTATCATAGAAAGTCCTGATTGGTTGGAAAGTCCCCAAAGGTGTGAATGCATATTTGGATGGTGCCTGGGGATCACCTAGCACAGAATTTCGTCCTTGGGTTACTAATATATGTGCCATGAAGGAACTTAAATTTAATTGTCCTGAAAGGGAGGGATCTTAGACATTGCCAGCGGATGTGCCAAATTTGTTCCTAAAATTCGCATGGGATCGCGCTGCCCAGCGCCAGCTCCCAAAAGCACCCTGGTATTTGGTCTCACCTCAGTAGGACACGGGAGTAGGAATTAGTATTCATCAGATATTTTATAGTGGGCCCTTTCCTCCATCAGCCATATCCATATCGGGGATGGGATCTTTCGGAGGTCAACATCCCTTGCCTTGTTAATAGAGTCCCTGATCTGGAGAAATAAAAACAAAAATCGCTATTAGGGATGGCATGTCAGACGAGAGATCACCCACTTTCCGGATTTACACTATTTACAATCTGGCCAGCTGTCCCCCTTGGTCTCAATTCTGGGGAATGGATTATCCCACATCGGAGAGAGTCGCTGGATGCCAAAGGTGATAGGGATGGGTCTATTTCTCAGGATCCAGGGGTTGTATTGACCTAGGATAGTGGTTTAAAATCGAACGGCTTATCCATCAGGGGAAAAATAGACTATTCTCTCAAGGCTCCCGGGGGATACTCATGCCTCTTCCCACTTCTTCCCGGAGCGCTGTCTGTTCTTACTGAATCAACGTGTGACCGTAATAAGGCCTCCCAATAAGTAGCACTTAGCGAAATCAGGTAACGCCAGCCCACCACATTTCTTCCCCTGAGTTAAGGTATTGTTGTCGATCCTGGCCACCATGTGGCCCAGGACAAAGGGATCTATAAGGGAGCGGAGCTAACTGAAGAATTTCTGAGGAATATTAGTCATTATCATTCTGAGATGGTAGAGGGCCTTCGGAAGGGTCATAGTTTTGACCAAGTAGACCTGATTGGGGAGTAATAGCGGGATATTGTCCCAAACAACTAGGGAGGCTTCAATCTCCAGAAGAACGGGGGGGGGGAGTTCTGTTTGAAGAAGCATAATTTCTGCCTTTGAGATGTTGAGTTTATAGCTTGAGACTGCACCATACTCCGCAATAAGCTTCAGGAGGGCAGGCATTGAGGTGTCCAGTTTTATGATGGTAAGCAGAATATCATCTGCGTAAAAACTTACTTTATCTTCGACTTACCCATAGCGTATACCTAGTATCTCCTGGCTAATTCATATTCTGGCTGCCAGAGGCTCAATTGCAATTGCAAAGAGGAGGGATAGGGAGCATCCCTGTCACGTGCCTCTTGTGAGGGGGAACCTCTCTGAAACAACCCCATTCATAGTAACTGTCGCAGTCGAATGGGC